TTTGAAATACATCATTTTGCATGTAGTTAGGTATATTTGTGGAATACATTTTCTGAAGTGAAATTGTTAAGTCAACAGACAAATGTATTGCTAAGTCAAAGGTCAGTTTTTAATTTTTTCGTACTGGGTGAAAGGAAAGCGAGGAACCCAGAGGCAGGTGAGTGAGAAATGAAAGACGGAGATCAGGCAGAGATATACAGAGAGTTATTTGTCAGAGCTGACAAATAAAGGCACATCTTTCCATAGATGGAGAGAGGCAATACAGGCTTGGGTTCTGGGACTTTATGGGGCAGGCTCAGGGATTAGAGCCAGATGGGTCCTAATGCAGAAATGTCCTTGGATAGGAAAGCAAAACTTTTTCTTAAGATGGCAGCTGTCACTTAAGATGGCCATTCAGAAGCTAAGCAAGGACCTTACATTGGGGATTATACCTAGGGGCACTCTACTAATGAGTTGTATTATTTTTCTTTTGAGACAGGGTTTTGCTAAGTTGCTGAGGGTCTCACTGAGTTGCTGAGGCTGTCCTTGAACTTGTGATCATCCTGCTTCAGCCTACCAAGTCGCTGGAACTATAGGCGTGCACCACAGTGCCCAGATGCATTTGTAATCTTTATAAACATTTCCAAGTTACTGTCTTTGAAGGACTGCACCAATATACTCACACCACACCTCAGGGAAGAGCCTCCTTCTCCAAAAAAAGGTTATCCAATTTTTACCATTTGAGGAGTGACAAGTAGTGTCTCAATATGATTTTGATGTGCTATTCTCTCATTTTAGGGTGGATATATTTTAATTATCTTAGAGCTATAAGCATTTTCTCTTCTGGGAACTGTCATATCCTTTGCCCATTTATCTGTTATTGGTTTTCTTATTGATTTCTAGGGGCTCTATATGCATAAGGAGATCAGCTCTTGATCTGATATAAATTGTAAAAATTTAAAAATGTTTTCTAATAATTTATCTCTTGACTTTACAAATGGGATATTGTTTTGAGTGTGTAGATTTTTTTTGTTTTAATTTTTAGAAGTTTTAAATTTTATGTTGTCAGATTTTTCAGCCTTTTGTTTTACAGCTTTTGGGCTCCTGTCATTGTTGGAAAGTCTTTTTCCCTCCATATTTATTAAGAAATTCTTAGGTTGCATTTTTATTTGTTTGCAGTTTGGTGGGTCACATAAATAAAATTATAATATTGATATTATTCTATGGTGACTTTTTTTTACACTTACTAATATTTTCTGGACACCCTTCCCTGTAAGCAGATAAAGATCCACTTCAATTGTGTTGATAACTGCAAGATGTGCCACGGTAACTGATGTTTATTTATTATCCACTATCAATGAGCTTTCAAGTGGGTCCCTATTTTTCAGTATCATGAACAATATTGGTGGGACAAATCTTGCAACTTTGTCCTACTGAGTTATGAGGCTGGGAAGCCTGAGAGGCACACAGCCAAACCTTCAGGCTTACAGTGTACTCATTTTGTTTGTTTCTTCTCTTGTACGGCCCCCTAGTGGCTTGTCAAATGCAGGAAACAGGGCCAGATTTGGAGACGTGGTTTTTCTGACATTGAATCAATGAACTCAGTGGGTATTTGCAGTCCTCTGATTCAACTCTCTCATTTGACATATGGGGAAACTAAGGCTTAGATAAAGATGGTAGCTTGTTCCAACTCACCAAGCACAAGAAGGCTTAGTGCTAGGCCCAAAACCTAGTGTTAGGGGATAGAAAGATGAGAACAGTGGGAAAACGAGGTTAACAGAATAATTATATAAAATGAGCCCACTGTGCTGACCCCCACACACTTTATTTGCCAAAAAGCAATTTACCTGCAGCCCTGCCTGGCCTAAGTGGACAGGATATGTCACATTCCTCAGCAAACTACCTGTTATGTGCAAGGAAATGTAGGCAGGCAATAAGGTTGAAATAAGGAACCCAAGTTACTTTGAAGGAAGAGACATTTGATCTTTTCACAGGCCAGATTCTGGAAGATAAGGATAATTACTTCTAACCACAAAACCTGTAAAAATGATTAAAAATCCAATTCGAACTGCTCAACATGGGCCAAGGGAACCTAGCATTGCCATGCCAATTGGTACATGAAAGTCTGATGTCACCCTGCTGTCAGTCAAAAATCAAGAGGTAGACCTGGACAGAACTCTCTGGAAACTTCCATGGGATCCCCCAATAAAACTGGAGTGCAGGAGAGGCACATTGTCTCTTCTCTGAGAGAACCCATACTCTCTCTAGAGAGTGTCACCTTTCCATTTTCCTATCCCTTCAATAAATATATTCCTCCTATTCTTAATAACATGTCTGAAATTTTTTTCTGACTTGATTATAAGAACTAGGGTTTGGGGCTGAGGTTGAAGCTCAGTGGTTGAGCGTTTATCTTGTAAGCGTGAGGCACTGGGTTTGATCCTCAGCACCACATAAAAATAAATAAATAAAAATAAAGATATTGTGTCCATCTACAACTAAAAGAAAATTTAAAAAAAAAACTAGCATTTAAAGAGGAGGTCTTTGCACTGCCTCAGTTTCCTGGAAAGCCCAAACTCTGTAACACTAATGCTCTTTTCCCCCAGTCTGCAGCTCTGCCAGTATGAGGCTGATCTTTATATTATATGGACTTTCACTCCCTGACATGTTCAGCAGGTCACAATATCTTAAGAGTCTGGCTGAATAAATCTTATATTCATGTAAGGAACTCAATGTTTCTGGGTTATCAGTTAAGGGAGAGTTTTCCTCCTGGGCATCTCACTATCATAACCACTATGAGCCAACTGGCTAGTTTTAGAGTGAGGCCTGTGGGGTGGGGAGATGGAAGTTGTCAAAATTTGAGGTATCCAAGACCCAGAAAGCATCTCTGTGCCATTCAAGAACTTCTCTGCCAGGGGGCTGCAGAGGATGGACAGTTGGTAAAAAGGAGCTCCGCACTATGTTTCTTTGAAAGGGGTATCCTATTTCACCAACTTAACTTGTTGGCTTTCTGAGTAAAAACTGGACCTGATGCTTCTTTGCAGGCTTCTGGGGGCTCAGCTCATTGTTGAATGTTTTCTTCACTTCAATTTCTCCGTTCTCCAAACCACCAGAAAAGTTAGTTATGTCAAAATTCCTCTTTTTCCTCTTGCAATTGCATTGGCTATAACCCAATCACTTTCCTGTCTTTTAGTTTTATATCTCTAGTGAAACTCAAAGGTCTTAAGGCAGAATTTGTGTTGGATTCCCTGCCACGAAGTCTCCTCTTGATCTTCTTATTTCTCCTGCTCTATTTATGTAGGTACAATCTTGCCCTCTCTTTAGAAGAGAGCTCAGAGCCTGGATCTCTTCTATCAAAGAGAAAGAGGCAAATATTTTAATTTTGTATCTCTGATTCTAGACCTTGTTAATTCTTTGCTCTTCTGATTCTCATGACAGCCTCAGAAAATGTCATTACCACAGCAGAAGGTGCAAAACTTGGATTTCAAGGCTTTTCCCCCCAGAAACAACCCTCCCCCTTTCTTCCTTTTCAAGCCTGGAACTGGGTGCTGCCAGCATACTCTGACTGGCTATCAAAGGGGTAGTATCTCTAGTAGTAAGAAAAGGCCCCATTCTGCAAGTCTACATCTTCTTGCTCATACCCACCATGGACCCTCCTCCAATCAAGAGGCAAAGTGCTCTTACTGGGCTAAGACAATAATGAACAAGATAATGGACTTTACTCAGGTTATTGCTATAAGGGGAAACCCCACATATGTATGGTCTTGGTAGGGTGTAAAAGGAAAGCAAGGAACCGGGCAAGCAAAAAATAAAAGATGGAGATCAGGCAGAAATACACACAAGAGTTTATTTGTCACAGCTGACAAAGGCTTATCTGTCCACAGAGGGAGAGAGGCAATACTGGCTTTGGTTCCTGGACTTTTATGGGCAGGCTCAGGGATTAGAGCTGGATGGGTCCTAATGCAGGGTGGGGTTGGTATGAGGGAGTGGTGAGCCTTTCACAAAAAAGGGCTTGGGTGGGAAAGAGAAATTTTTCTTAAAATGACAGATGTCACTTAAGATGGCCCATCCAGGACCTTACAGGATGGTTTAGCCTTAGACAGTTTTAATTCGGTGATGGGGGGTGGGAGGATGATGGAATAGCTGGGATTATTTGGTTATAGGGAAAAGTTTGTTGGTAGGATGAACAGAAAACGTTTTGTGTAGCTAGTTTCAGGGTACAGAGTTCAAATCTCAGCTAATCAGTCTTGAGACCATGAATAGGAACTTAGAAGAGGGTCTGTCCCTGGCCTTATAGGGCTTGTCACAGGTGAACAGGGGATCATCTGTAGGTCTTTTTAACTAAGTCATATGGAGAAGGGTGGTTCGTTACAATGAGCTGTTTCAGGAACAAACAGATGAAGAGGACATTTCTTAACCATCCTGTTTTCAGGAGCTTAGGTGCAACATGACCCTCCTCAGGTTTCATCAGGTGATCTTTCTGCAGGCAAAGATCTGTACTTCTTATTGTTGATCAAATGGGTCCTTAAGGTGGAAATTAAATAGTTATTTTATAAAGAAAGGAAGTAAAAATGCCTCGAAGGAGGTCTTGGTCACTTCAGTTAGTAATGCATCAACACTGCCTAGACTTGGAACTACAAGTCCCAGAGAACAGTGCGCCACCCCTTCGCCACACCGAGGGCGGGAGTCTTTCGCCTAGCTGCAGGACTGAGAGTTATCTGGCCTAAAGATACAAAACGTAATTTTCGGGGTCTTCATTTTTCTCAAGAGTAATTCTGATGCTCCTCCAAGAAGAGGCCGACACACTCAAGAGAGAAACCTCGCTCCCACGCAGGACAAACCAGACTCCTCCGGAGGGGCGTATTTAACTAAAGCTCCCGCTCATTTTTCCCAGTAGTCTCCTTTCCGGCGGTGCGTTGCGTCGTTACTATTACGTCTTCTCATTGGCCGGTTTGACGCATGATAGCGCCTGCGCACTGCATTCCTTTGAGGGTCGTGGGCAGACGCCATTTTGGTCTCAGAGGTGCTTCTGGGAAGTAGAGCGCCTACCCGCACGCTTGCTGGCTTTCCCGGTACGGCCTTTTCTGCTGGGGCTCCCAGGTCGAAGCGTTCGTCTCTGCTGCTGCGGTTTTCATATTCTCCGAGCTCTCCGGTTAGGCCGGAGCCTCAGCACCGGGTAGCGCCATCGGAGGTCACACCACCAGGAAGGAGGTGACGGGGGCGGCGCGGGGCGCGGACACTCCCCGCTAAGAGCCCGCCTGCCATGGACTCGGAATATTACAGTGGCGACCAGTCAGGTGGGTTCGGGTTGGGGACCGAGCGATTCCTCGGCGGGCCTTGGCCTCGCGCTCTCGCGGAAGCGGGGAGAAAAACCCCGGAGACGAGCCTGCCGATCAGCGAGCCGCCGGCTCCAAGTTAGAACCTTGGAGAGAGGGGATCTTTGAGGGAAAGACGTCTTCCGAATAGGTGAAGGTTTTTGCTGAAATCGGGAAGTCACTACCTATATCAAGCACCTGCCGTATGCAGAGTGTTGGGAAAGAAGAGGCTTTTCCTGTTAAGGATCTTTCAGAAGTTACGGGGTTTTTTTGAGAACCCAAGGAAATTGTTCAGTAGGAGGCTGGGGACCCTTCCTAGACTTTTCATTCCAAGTTAGGGCTCATTTAATTCGCCTGCCACACTGGCTTCCCAGGATGTAAGTGCAGGACCTTTGTCTGAGTTGTAAGGAGTGCTTCTCTGGCTGTTATTGATGACTTTTTGCCTTTCCTTTACCTTAAGAGCTTTCCTTTTTCCTCACCCAAGTTTGGTCTGCTTTCCTTCTTATTCATGTACACTTATCCCCGTTGGGCAAGCCCTGGCACCCGGGATGTAAAGTTGAGTAAGGTAGGACCTAGTGGGCTCCTTTGCCATTTGTACGTTCTGTATCAAAAGTGCTTAGTTGTTAGGACATAAAGCTCTCTCCTGTTTTGGTTTCCCTTTAATTCCTTACTTGTGACAGCAAAAACAGTGATTGTAAGTGCTTTTCAGGCATGCACTTCTGTTTTGCTTAAAACGTTTTCTGATGTTTTCAAAAGAGTTTTTCAATTCATTTGTGTTTTAAAGTTGCTTTTTAAAAAAAGGTAGTTGTATGTATTATAGTAGGTAGGTTGTGTTTAAAGAGGTAACAAGTTGAGGTAATAGATAGCAGTTCCCTGACACCCCCTCCTCCTAATTTCTAAACTTTTAATATTTACCTCTCTTCCAAAAAAAAAAAAAAAATATTTACCTCTCTTCCTAACTTAGGCTGTTTCTTCTTGCATCATTTTTAGTCGTTCTGTAATGCTTTCCTATTATGCCAGGACAGTATTTTAGCCTTTTAACGCCCTCTTCTCATCTATCCTTCCACTGATGCTGTGTAATTGTTAAACTTCAAAACTATTCTTTTTTTCCCCCCAAAACTATTCTTTTTATTGTGACTTCTTAACTTTACTCTAGCTAAGTATAGTAACTCATTTATATGAGAGTGATTTCATCACTTTTTGGATTTTTAAAATATTGCTTAAAGTTAGGTACCAATTCATAATTATGGTTGATTTTTTTTTTTTTTTTTTTTTTTTTTTACTATTGTAATATATGCTTTAATGAGTTTTGACTATTTTTGGACTGGAGTTCCTTGTGCTTTTCATTCATAAACAGATACTTTATATCATGTACCAGGCAGTGTTCTGGGTTCCAGGGATTCAGCAGTGAACTGAAAGCAGAATAACTTGAAAAAAATCTCATAGTACATTAGAAGTTGGTGGTAAGTGCTCTGGAGAGAAAGACAGTTTTTAACATAAATTTGAAATAAATAGCACTTTACTTACAAGTTACTGACATGGTATTTAATGATGTTTTTTAAGCTTTACATTCCTTTTATGAGTATTTTTGCTACCACGTGCGCCATATGTTAATGATGTTGGTATTTGTATGACTCTTGTATTGCTTTGCTCAAAATATTACCATCATTAGTTTTGCTTTGTCCATAGTAACTTTTGCTTTGGATAGTCTTAAATCATTGTGTTTGTTTCAGCTACAGGTGTCATCCATGTTAACTGTAAGTGGATTTTTGTTTTATTTTTAAGCAGATGATGGTGGTGCTACCCCAGTGCAGGATGAACGGGATTCTGGATCTGATGGTGAGGATGATGTAAATGAGCAACACTCTGGATCAGATACTGGAAGCATAGAACGACATTCAGAGGTATTGGCTAAATATCTTTGGGGAAGATTTTTCCTTGTACTTTTGTGAGACCTGTTTAGAAGTTGTAGAGACCCTGCCATAGGACTTGGGGTTTAATCTCTGAGAGTAAAGTATGAAGTAATAGAAAACTGCTTTAAAAATAAATAGGGATGGTCTGGTTACTGATGTAATAACAGGGAAATAAGTTCTGACTGTGTTGAATTTCAAGTATTTAGGCAGTTTTAACTGAGTATATGAAATCAGATAATGAGCCAGGCCTTTAATATTTGACTTGGCTTCCCTAATCCCCAGATATCATCTTGTTGGGGCTACGAGCATTTGCAGCCTGAAAAAAAGTTTAAATAAAAAGTTAGGAAATTTTCACTTAATAAAACTTGTATCAGGAATTGACCTTTTGTTTTGAATTGTTGAGATTCATATGATTAAAAAAAACAAGTGTAGTTTTAAAAACTACTTTTGTAAAATAATACAGTATTGGATTCTCTATACATTTTAACATTCGTTCTAATACATAAATATTATTAAAACAACTTAATCTGCCTCCTTGGTTATATAGTCTGTCTTATACAGTGTTAACAAAATAAATTTGGGACATTTTTCAATGAATCAGTGTGTCTTAGACATAAACAAATAGGAATGATAAAAATGGAGAGATGTTTTTCACTAATTTGCTGAGAGGCTGGCTTTGAACTTGTGATCCTCCTGCTTCAGCTTGACAGGTGGCTGGGATTACAGGCATGTACCACCATGCTCCAGAACTCTTCTCAATCACTCCATCATTCTTATTTTTGTTTTGTTTTGTTTGTTTGCAGTGCTGGGGATTGAACCTGGGGACTTGTGCATGCTAGGAAAACACTCTACCACTTAGCCCCACATCCCAGCTCCAAGATAGACAGATTTTTCTAAGAACTTTTGTGCCATAGATTTGCTTAATTAAACACATAAAAAATTACCAAATTTTACATACAAGATATTCTTGCAAATTGTATTGACCATCATTATAGAGTCATGTCATTTTTTATATGTTTGTGTCATTAGTATATTCATACATTTCTCATTTATTGAGCACTTTATATATGTGTTAGTTGTTTGGGTTTTTTTCCTTAAGGTGTTTTGGACATATCAGTGACTAAAAGCCAGAATCCTTTTCTTGGATTTATTTTTCAGTGAGAGAAGAAAGACATTAAAACAACGTACTGTTTTTTAAAATTGTAGTTTGTTAGAAGGTGACAAATGTTGTGGATCTGGGGAAAATTAGAATGTAATGAAGGATATCAGTATGGAGGGCAAATTTCTGTGTTAAATTAAGAAATAATGCCAGGTGTGGTGTGCATGCTTACAATCCTAGCTACTCGGGAGGCTGAGGCAGGAGAATCATAAATTCAAGGCCAGCCTGGACAACTTAGCAATATCCTGTCTCAGAATAAAATTAAAAAGGAATCTGTGTATGGGGTGAAGGTGGGAGTTCATAACCCTCTTGAATCAAAGTGTGGAATATGATATGTCAAGAAATTTGTAATGTTTTGAACAACCCACAATAAAAAATTTAAAAAAAAAAAGGAATGAGGATGGAGCTCAGAGGTAGCTCACTAACCTAGCATGTGGGAGGCCCAGCGTTCAACCCCCACCACCACAAAAAAAGAAAAGATAAAGTGACATTTGAGCCAAGGCAGGAAGGGAGCTGAGGGAATAGCGACACATTTATGTGTCTGAAGCAAAAAAACATTCCCATGAAGAACCCCAAAGTGAGAGTGCTTAAAGTTTTCAAGGAGCCAATGTGAGTAGTAAGGATGAGTGTAATGTAGGATGAGTGGAGTAGTAAGAGTCAGGGAGCTAAATACAGGTATGGGAGTGGCTCATCATTTAATTATTTCAATGTCACTCTTGTTTTTTTTTTTTTGTAGGCCCTTAAATATTTAGGCTAAATTCCAGTAAATTAATAGGTAGGGGCTAAGTGATAATGTCAGCATTATTATAGTACATTTAGAGTGTAGTATTTTAAGTTTCCACCTTGAAAACAATGTTAGGAGATTGACCCTAGGTGTCAGCTTTGATTATCTCAGGGCCTCTTGATTTAGTTATAAACATGATAAAGGTTCTTGTTAAGGCATTTGCAGCTACTTCTTTATAATAATATGGATTCTAAATATATAAATGGATATGTTAAAAATTTGGAAATTATATCAGTAAATTTAAAGAAGATTAAAATTAGTATACGTAATCCCATTAATAGCTATTAACTTTTTGACATTGTATTTCCTACATTTTAATTCTCTCCCATGCATATAAAGTATGTGTATGTTTTAAACTACTTGAAATTTTACTATGTATATTTTGTATCTATTATCTCTTCACTTAAGATTATGCCTTAAGTATTTACTGATATTGTTAAAGAGCCCCACTAAGTGTAATTTTAATCGTTTCATAGTATTGGTGCAACATTACACTCATCCTTCCATGTCCAGGGGGATTGGTTCCAGGTGTCTTTTCCACCCTGGTGGATACCAAACCCAGAGGATGCCCAGATCCCTTATATAAAATGAAATGAAGGCTGGGAGTATAGTCCGGTAGTATATCATGTACTTATTGAACAGAAAGGTTGGGCTGGGTCTTCAGTACATGCATGTGCAAATTTTAAATGGCATGATATTTGCGTATAACCTATACACATCCTCCTGTATAAATCATCTCTAGATTATTTATAATACCTAATATAACAAAAATGCTATGTAAATAGTTATGACACTGTATTGTTAGGGAATATTGACAAGAAAAAAATGGTCTGTTCTAGGCCTAACTGCATATTTTTTTTTTTTTGGTACCAGGGATCAAACCCTGGGTATTCAACCACTGAGCCACATCCTCAGCACCCATTTTTTTGAGACAAATTCTTGTCAAGTTGCTTAGAGCCTCGCTAAATTGCTGAGGCTGTCTTTGAATTTGCAGTCCTCCTGCCCTAGTGTCCCTAGCTGCCAAGATGATAGGCATGCACCACCATGCCTGCCCATTTCTTCAAATGTTTTCAATTGGTGGTCTGACATTGGTTGAGTGCTTATTTGGTGAGTCCCTAATTGTTGACATTTAGACGATCAGGACTGTTTCCTTTTTCTAACTGTAACTGGCTACTAAATTCCCTTGTTGCCCCTTGATTGTGCTATTGTGTTTGAACATGCCCTGGAACATCAATTGCTCTTCAGACTAATACCATCAAATTATGGCTCCTTTAAAGGATTTCTGAGAACAGTGTTTGAGAGTATTTTAACCCCAGTGTGTTTCCTCCCAGCTGTCCCTGGTTCTGTTCTGCAAACTAGATATCCTACAGTTTAGACTGTACCTTGAATCTCAGTCCCAGGTGCCTTCCAACCACAACTTTCCCAAATCATATTGCCAATGAAGTAAGTTTCTTTGGGGAATGATTGGGAGCTATCTGATTGGGAATCAGGTCTGTAGAGCTCGTCACACCCACCTCTAGAAACTGACCTGTTTAGTGGGAGGTGGGAGTGAAACAGCAGCTCTTCTCCTAGTGCAGTCTCACAAGCCAGAGCCAGGGTGAGGAGAGCACTTGTATTTTCAAAGTGCTTCACCCAAGGCGGAACCTTCTTCATTAAAATTAAGTAATGGTGGGGCAGAAAATGAGGTTCTCCACCTCACAGGTGCACTCTGCTAGGCCTTATCCTTAGCAGTGGGCATCCAAGAGAATGCCCTGCTTTAGGAAGGAATCCTCTGACTGGGAGAAAGAAGAGAGAGCCCTGTGTTATTGTCTAGAGAAGGTTCTCTGTCTTGTAGAGCTGTGAGGTTGAAAGGAAGGAATGATCTGTTTTTCAAATACCAGATACTCTTGCTGAATTTTTATGGATTTTTTTAAAATTTGCTTTTTGCTCTTAGGACTATTTCCAGAGGCTTTAAATGATTACTTTTGAAAGATTTCCTGTCGGTTTCACTGGGGAGCAGGTCAACAGAACTTCTCATGCTATTATGCCAGAAGTCCTCATTTGGCTTCATTTTTATCTCTTACTGGTTGGCCAAACCTTTCCATTTTCCCCCATTCAATTGCTTGTCTGTTACTACAGTTTTCATTGGGCCCTTTGAGCTTTCTCATCTCGTTTTGTGTGTGTGGATCAGGTTCCCAGGTCCTGTCAGTTGCCAACCCTGCACAGAGAGCAGCCTTGGGTTGCTTTTCTGGTCAAGAGATTCTACTAAACCTGCTGTGGGCCTGTAAGCACATGCCTAGGCATTACAGGATATTTAACATCTTGGTTCCCCATGAAATACTAGTGACATATACATGATCACCCCTCAATTACCAACCTTGTACTTGACAACCAAAATGATCCCTTGAATCCCCAAATACCACTTGGATGAGGAGCTAGAACTGACCTTGGGCTGAGAACACTGAAATGGAATAATTAGGTGTGTGATCATAAGAAAGGAAACCATGAATATTTGACAGTGTAGAAAATGAGGAATTCAGTGCAATCTTAAAATTGTTTTCAAAGAATTTTGAATGATATGGGAGAATTCAACATGTTACTTGAAAGATATAGGCTATAAAATTGTAACTCTAGATCCTAATTTAATTTTTTAAATTGAAAATACATGAAAAGATTACTTGTACCAAAGTGATGGTAATCTTTGGGTGGTATGAGTCACATTTCGTTTTTTATTCTATAGTGCACATTAATCTTTAAAATTGAAGAGAAAATAAGTAGAATAACTGCCATCATTTTGACACCCTTTTCTATGAGCATGCATGCAGTGATTGAAAATGTACTAAAATTTTAGAAGAACCTTGTAACGAACCCTTTCAAAACTGGAAAGATAAACCTTTTTCTACTGGCATTTTTTTTTTTACTTTGTTGTTTTTTCCATTTTTAATTGTCTTTAATATAATTTGGATATCAAATTATATTTTCTTAATAGATCATATGGAAGGACAGAGAGAAGAGTAGGAGAAAATGTACTAAAATTTGCACTTCCCTATTTTTTTTGAAGACTGTGCA